CTGATAATGAAGACTTCAATTTATCCAGATGTCCAGTTTACCCAGAACTATTATAGTCATATGTTGGGGTTTGATGGGAACATATGGAGCAGTTTTATCATTCATAAACTCATAGATTTCAGAGTGTATGGAGTGTTTCCTGTTTATTAGAGACTATGGAGTTAAAAACATTTTACAGTCATTAACTTATTAGGCTAGACTGAGTTTTAATTTGAGAAGATTGAGCCAGATCTCCAAGAATTTGTCTAACACTTTACATTCTCTGCATTTGCTTGCTTTAGTATAAGAATTGTGGGTACTTTAACTGGTCTCCTAATCTACATTCTTAGTTTTCTATAATTTATCTATTCTCTTCACCAATGATTCTTCAATACCAAGATTTTTAACAGGTAAAATTTTGAGGCAAAATGAGAAAACTAAAGTGAAAGTGTTGAATTTTTCATTAAGGTAAATGTATTCAATTCAAATTATTAGCTTTTATTCCAAGATTATATTCTTTGTATATTATTGGTATTAAAATATTTTCCATGCAACAATGGTAATTTTTCAATGGCCTTATTGATAAAAATTTTAAAACTGATCCCCCACTTCATTTTATTTTTTATGAAAATCCAAGAGTTTTGGAAACTAGCTACCTCAGAGATCTTTTTGAAACTCTTACCTAATCATTTCATTTTCTTGCCTAAAGCCTTTAGGGTGGACCACTGTGGCCTAAGGTGGTATAATGCCACTGGGGTTTTGTTTTTTTTTAAAGATTTTATTTATTTGATAGAGAGAGACACAGCGAGAGAGGGAACACAAGTGGGGGAGTGGCAGAGGGAGAAGCACGCTTCCCGCGGAGCAGAGAGCCCGATGCGGGGCTCGATCCCAGGACCCTGGGATCAGGACCTGAGCCGGAGGCAGATGCTCAACAACTGAGCCACCCAGGCGCCCCGCCACTGGGGTTTTGAATCCTTATGTGCATTAAGTATTTTCTGTAGACTAAATAAAGTACCTTATTTTTTCCCTAAATTTTTTAAATGTAAGAAGATGCTCTATGATGATGATCAGTTTATTTTAAAAGTTTGACTTTCCAGTTGCCTTTTGTCATGGTGTGTTTTTTTTTGTTTTTTTTTAAATTTTTATTTTTAATTTAATTTTTTTTTTAAAGATTTTATTTATTTATTTGAGAGAGAGAGAATGAGAGAGAGAGAACACATGAGAGGGGATAGGGTCAGAGGACGAAGCAGATTCCCTGCCGAGCAGGGAGCCCGATGCAGGACTCGATCCCGGCACTCCAGGATCATGACCTGAGCTGAAGGCAGTCGCTTAACCAACTGAGCCACCCAGGCGCCCTCTTTTTTTTTTTTTTTTTTAAGATTTTATTTATTTATTTGAGAGAGAGAGAATGAGAGAAAGCACATGAGAGGGCGGAGGGTCAGAGGGAGAAGCAGACTCCCCGCTGAGCTGGGAGCCTGATGTGGGACTCGATCCCAGCACTCCAGGATCATGACCTGAGCTGAAGGCAGTTGCTTAACCAACTGAGCCACCCAGGCACCCTGTCATGGTTGTTTTTTCAGTCGTTTAATTCCTGTCAGGAAGTCATTAAAATATTATTACTTTAAAAAGCCTAATCAGTAAAGATAAAACTGTAGGGGAAAAAAAATGGACTTGACAATTTTGATTAGTAAAAATTTTGATATAGTAAGAAAATATATAAACCACATAATAAGATAAAAGTATATATGGAAAATATATTCAACACACTGTCTTTTTTTTCAACATACTGTCTTTGAAAAACTGAGGTATATCATCTTTAAAGAGAATTTATAACTCTAATAAAAATAATACAGCAGTAGGAAAATCAGTAAGAAATATGAATAGCAATTCACAAGAGAAAATAATCTTCCAATTAATATGAAAAGCGTTGAACTTTACTAAAAATAAAAGTTTCAATTTAAGATTTTTTTTTTCCCCCTGGCACTTAGCAGAATTAAAAAATATCTGTATGACAGGGCTTGGAGAAGTGGACACTGTTAACTGCTGGTAGAACTACAAATCAGTATGTTATTTTGAGGATAGTTTGGCTGTATGTATCAAAAGCCTTACATTTTTTAAAATCCCTTTTTACTTAGCAATACATTTTTCTGGGGATGTACTTAGAAAAATAACTAAGGATGTGATTAATATTCAGCTATTAGGTTGTTCATCATAGTGTTTTTTAGTGTAAACTTTTTTACACTGCATAAAGTTTTACACTAAATAAAACCATTTAATGGTTTTAGTGTAAACCATAGTAAAAAACTGGAAGCAATATAAACACCCAGCACTTGCTTATTAGTTTAAAAAAGAAACAAGATACGGTTCATTCATACAGTGAATCTAATCAGCCATTAAGAATGATTTTTTTTTTTTAAGATTTTATTTATTTATTTGAGAGAGAGAGTGAGAGAGAGAAAGAGCACAAGAGGGGGGAGCGGGAGAGGGAGAAGCAGACTCCCTGCTGAGCAGGTAGCCCGATGTGGGGCTCAATCCCAGGACCCCGGGATCACGACCCGAGCCGAAGGCAGTCGCTTAACCAACTGAGCCACCCAGGCGCCCCCATTAAGAATGATTTTGTCGGGGCGCCTGGGTGGCTCAGTCATTAAGCGTCTGCCTTCGGCTCGGGTCGTGATCCCGGGGTCCTGGATTGAGCCCCACATCGGGCTCCCTGCTCAGCGAGACGCCTGCTTCTCCCTCTCCCACTCTCCCTGCTTGTGTTCCTGCTCTCGCTCTGTCTCTCTCTGTCAAATAAATAAAATCTTTAAAAAAAAAAAAAAAAGAATGATTTTGTCAATAAATCTTTAATAACATGGCAAAATATTTATGACATGACATTTATTATTAAAATATAAGAATTAGGCTATCAATAACAGTGGTTATTTTTATGGTGGACTTTTTTCCATTTAAAAAATATTTTCAGGGATGCCTGCGTGGCTCAGTCAGTTAAGCGTCTGCCTTCAGCTCAGGTCATGATCCCAGGGTCCTGGGATTGAGTCCCACGTCAGGCTCTTTGCTCAGTGGGGAGTCTGTTTCACCCTCTCCCTCTGACCCTCCCCCAGCTTGTGCTCTCTCTTGCAAAGTGGGAAACCTGCTTCTCCCTCTCCACCCCCCCTGCTTGTGTTCCCTCTCTCGCTGTCTCTCTCTCTCTCAAAAAATAAATAAAATCTTTAAAAAAAATGCAAAGATCTTAAAAAAAAAAAAAGTCACTGGGAATCACTACAGAATAAATCCATGATATATTCTCCTCTTATCTCTACTTTTCAACACACAGTACTTCTAACTAGTGTTGCCTCTCAGAGTATATACCATCCCCTTACATGCCTCTGTACCTTTGCTTGTCCCTTGGTCACTTAGGGAGTGCCTGCCTCATCTTTTAAAATCAGTTCAAATGACCCCACCATGAAGTCTTTCCTGACCACCCTTTTCTTTCTTTTTTTTTTTTTAGATCTTATGTATTTGTCAGAGAGAGCACATAAGCAGGGGCAGCAGCAGGCAGAGGGAGAAGCAGGCTTCCCACTGAGCAAAGAGCCTGCAGTGTAGGACTCGATCCCAGAACCCTGGGATCCTGACCTGAGCCGAAGGCAGAGGCTCAACCAACTGAGCCACTCAGGCGCCCCTGATCACCCTTTTCTTTGCTTATTCCATGCAATTATTTTGTACAATTATGTATTTACAATTTTTTTCCACTAGGTAGTGAACTCCTATCTCATGCATAATAAATATTTGTGAGTACTTATTACGTGCCTGGCACGGTGTGTTGGGTACTACAGATCTAACAATGAACTATGCAGACAGTTCCCCCTGTCTTCAAGGAGTTTATAGCCTTATGAAGTTATTCCTTACACTGTATATTAAGTGTTATGACAGAAATATAGAGTACTTTGGAGATTAGAAGATTGGTAAATCTACCCCAAGCTGGATAGAGAAGGAAGTCTTCCCGGAGGGGATGATAGCTGAATAACAAAAAGAAAGGAAGTATTTAGTCAGGTCAAGGGGTAGGGTGAAGGTGGTTTCAGGTAGTAGAAACAGCTTATACAACAGCTAGGAATTTTAAAACTGTGTTAAGTTTTAGGAAGGTTGTTATGGTATTTATGGATACTGAGGTTGATTTCTGATAAAAAATAATTCAATATAATTTTATCTTAGAAGAAGTTCCAGAATTCATTTCTTCTCTCTACAAGAGATTAGGAAGTAATATATAACAGCATATGTTAGAGAAAGCATCCTAATGTTGAATTAGGCAGAAATTCAAGCGTGGAAAAAGAAATAAAAGAAATTCAAGTGTGATTGGTAGGTTTGTTGTTTTTTAAGTATTTGTATAAAATATATTCTCACTAAGCATTGAGAAATTAGTGTAAAATAATTAAAAGTCTGAATTATAGAGTATTTTATTGGTATATCTTGTAATCTTAACTGGTCCTAATAAAATATTGCTAAGTATGATTATTTGGAGGAATGCCTTTGAATTAATAGGTTAAAAATATGGCATTTTATTCGCAATTTTTATGTGTAAATGTGTTCTAAATAGAAAGACATTACTTGTAGCAGGGTAAATTTTTCTCATAATTATGAACCCTTTATGCTTAACATATCTCCCTCTGCAATCAAGTCTTCAAAATCTCCTCTGTCTCCTATTAAATTGTCTCTCACCATTCGTGTTTCCGATACAGATTCTAAAGTTCTTTTTTCTCTCTAGCACTGTTCCCCAAACATCCACCCCTATATCCAGTTCCAAATAAAAATCAATAATATAAAGCAAATGGATAAAATTACATTGTGGTCCTCCTTAAATCATAGTGTCCTTTCCTGTGATTATGTGAATTCTGCTTACTGTTTATTGATATCCATATCACTGGGTTTATACCGTCAGTTTGTAGTCCTTTTTTGTTTGTTTTCTTGATTAGGTAATATAGAGGCTGTTTCTCAAGTTTTCTTTAACAAGAGATTAAATAAACCAGTTTTTCTTTTCTGCTTTGTAGATTTCTTGATAACCGGCTGTTTGCTACCTGCTCTGATGACACTACAATAGCACTATGGGATCTGAGAAAACTGAACACCAAAGTATGCACTTTACATGGTCACACTAGCTGGGTGAAGAACATCGAATATGATACTAATACAAGACTCTTAGTAACATCAGGATTTGATGGAAATGTCATTATTTGGGACACCAACAGGTTTGTGAATAGGAAACCATGTTAGGATTGTGAACAACAACAACAAAATTTTTTTAAGATTTCTTTATTTGACAGAGAGAGGGAGAGAGAATGAGTGAGCATGTGGGGGGCGGGTGCAGAGGGAGAGGGAGAGAGAGAATCTTAAGCAGACTCCCTGCTGAGCGCAGAACCTGGTGTGGGGCTCCATCTCACAACCGTGAGATCATGACCTGAGAAATCAAAGAATTGGACCTTTAACTGACTGAGCCACCCAGGTGCCCCAAAAAAATATTTGTGTAAAATGGTAGAGAAATTCAGTGTTTTGTCTTAGCTTTCATATCTCTTTAGGAGAAAGAATCTGACTTTGGGAAAAATAATCAAAAAATGATTCCATCTTTTGTACTTGCTCTTAGTCATATACTGCAACTAAAAAATTTGGAGAAAAGTTTATAGAAAGGAGACCAAGTAGTACAGTTAATGATGAAAACTGGTTTATAAGATGAGTTTCCTAAATTTAAGGAATTTAAGGAAAAATATTTTTGTTATTTCCTCTGTGGAACAGAAATGTTTTTCATTCTTTGGTCCTTCAGTTCTTAAACCTACTTATTTTGTAATTTTTTTCATGCATTAAAATAATAGTTTCTCAGTGGGAATGTTTGGAAATAATGTGTGGTGCAGTTTTAATTGTCACTATGGGAGGAGAAGAGAGGATTTCTACTGGCATTTAGTCAACAGGGATCAGAGTTTCTAAACATCCTGCATGGAACATTTTGCACAGTAGACTAATCCCATCTAAAATGTCAGTAATGCCTCTGTTGTGAAACACTTCAATGAAATGTCTTCTTATAGAGAAATTGATTATTTAAAGAAACCTGAAGTTTGGGACACCTGGGTGGTTCAGTTGGTTAAGCATCTCTTGATCTCAGCTCAGGTCTTGATCTCAGGGTCGTTAGTTCAAGCCCTGCATTAGGTTCCATGCTGGGTGTGGTGCCTACATAAAATAATCAAGAAAAATAGAGTTGAAGTTTGAGAAATAACTAAAATGTACCTATTGCTAGCTATGGTGAAATGACAATGCAGTAATACACCAGGACCATTTCTGAAATATTCTTTTCAGAGATCATATATAAAAAGAGAGAGGATATTCTTAAAGATTTCTACTATGCATATTGTTTGAGCAGAGGATATATAGATCTCTTTAGATTAAGACAAGCATACCTGTTAAAATTTAGAAGTTCATTTTTTTTAAATTTAGAAATAAAATTTGAATAGGAATATGAATGGTAACTTCCAAATTAGTGGACAAAAGCTAGTAAAACATGATCAATCCAACAGAGGCAGAGAAGGGGGAAAATCATTTTTAAAAAAGGTAAATTGGGAAGCACAAAAATATGGTAGGCAGAAAATCCAAATATCAATAATCGCAATAAATACATATAGACTAAAGTAGCCAGTTAAAAGATAGATAGGGTTAGATTGGATTAAAAAACAAAACCAAACTATGTTCTTTGTAAGGAACACACCCAAAACATGCAAATGAGAAAGTCTGAAAGTCAAAGCATGGGAAAAAAATAACGGGCAAATTCAAATCAAAGAGAAACAATTATATTTACATTAATAGCAGACAAAAGAGAATATAAGGCATAAAGCATTATTGGTGGTTAAAAAAGGTACTGTGCTAAAAGGTTTATTTCACTAGAACATAAAAGAATTCTTATCTTAAATGTACCTAATAACATAGCTTCAAACCATAAAAAGCAAAAATGGGGGGCGCCTGGGTGGCTTAGTTGTTAAGCATCTGCCTTTGGCTCAGGTCATGATCCCAGAGTCCTGGGATCGAGCCCCACATCAGGCTCCTTGCTCCGTGGGGAGCCTGCTTCTCCCTCTCCCACTCCCCCAACTTGTGTTCCCTCTCTCGCTGTGTCTCTCTCTGTCAAATAAATAAATAAAATCTTTAAAAAAAAAAAAAGCAAAATGGACAGAATTACAAGAAAAAACTAAGAATCCCCATCTCAGTGGAAAATAGTAACACTATTCTCTCATTTACTAATAGATAAAGTAGATCAAAAAATTAGTAAGACCATAGGAGATCTTACGGTAATAAACTTGATTTATTAGGCATATTTAGGATTCTCCAAACAAATAGTGAATATATCCTCTGAAGCAAAAGTAGAGCATGTACTAGATTACAAAGTAAGTTTCAACCAATATCAAAGAGTTGTTACCACACAAATGATTTTTCCTGACCTCAGTATAGTTAATTAAAACACAGGTAACTAAAAATTCCCATGTTTGGAGATTTATAAACTCACTTCCTAAATAATTCATGGATTGAAGAAGAACTCATAGGGAAATCAGTAGACTAAAAATTAGTGAACTAAGAATTATACTCAAAAAAACTGGAAAAAGATAAAAAAGAGTAAACCCAATGAAATATTATGGAAATAATAAAGATAAAAGCAGAAATTAGTGAAATTAAAAATGAATGTACAATAAAGTTTTTTTTTAAAGCCTGCTTTTTGAATCTCTGGTAAGATTCATCCAGAGAAAAAAGACAAAAGAATAATCTTAACAATAAAAAAAGAGACAACAAAAATATATATATATGATAATAAGATCACTTTTATGCCAGTATACTTGAAAACTTTGATGAAATGGTTTATCCAAAAATACACCTTAGCAACTGATCAAGGAATCCTAAACTGATCAAGAGAGAAATAGAAAACCTAAATACACCTGTTACCTGGACTGATATTTAACCAATATGCAGTGATTTAGCTGAAGTAGTTGTTAAAATATTAAACTACTTCTGTAGTTAACACAGAAGTTAAATGTGGTAACTGTAGTTAAATGATAAATAGCCACTATCCTGAATCATCCCTGGGCAGTCATATCCTGGCACCCTCTGGTTACCCAGGCCCTTCTTTTAGGGATACCTCCCTCAAGATCTCCCTATGATCTAGCAGCTAAAGTCCCCCCTAAACTACCCCCCCTTTTTTTTTGGTTGTTCAGCATCTCATGTAATTCAGAGAAGTCTCATGAGTTAGATAACTATTATCCCATTTTATTTTATTATTATTTTTAAAGATTTTATTTATTTGACAGAGAGAGATAGCAAGAGCAGGAACACAAGCAGGGGGAGTGGGAGAGGGAGAAGCAGGCTTCCCGCTGAGCAGGGAGCCCGATGCGGGGCTCGATCCCAGGACCCTGGGATCATGACCTGAGCCGAAGGCAGACGCTTAACGACTGAGCCACCCAGGCGCCCCTATTATCCCATTTTAGAGCTAAGGAAACCAAGGTAAGAGAGGTTGGGTAACTTGCCCACATGACTGTCAATAGTAAATTATGAGCCAAGGGTCAAATCCCTGGTTTATAGACTGCTGAGAGACACCCTTTGTTGATGGAAGTTTTAAGATCTTACAGTAGAGTAATTCCAGGACTCAGTTCCAACACTGCCAACTGCATCAATTCTGACTGGCTCATTTTCATCCATTACTGGTTATTTAAATATTCTAAACATTGCCTCTGCCATAGCCATTAAAGAAATGGAAAATAGCAATTAAAATTTATCTACTAATAAAACAGCAGGCCTGTCAGTTTTACAGGTGACTTCTGTAAGACACTATAAGAAACAGAACATTCCAGTTTTATTAAGTTGTTCACATTCCAGAAAAAGGGAAATCTTACCTCATGTATGAAGCTAGTATAACCTTAATATATAAACTCAACAAAGATAATACTAGAAGAGAAAAACTGAAAGGTCAATCTGTAATGTGAATGTAGATACAAGTATTCTAAATAGAAGGAAACTGAAACTTGTAAGATATTAATAAAAATATCATGACCAAGTTGGGTTTATTCAGGAATGAAAAGATGATATATCTGGGGCGCCTGGCTGGCTCAGTCAGAAGAGCATGCAACTTTTGATCTCGGGGTTGTGAGTTCGAGCCCCTTGTTGGGTATACGTATAGGTCACTTAAAAAAGATATATTAATAGAAATTTTTTTTTTTTTTTGGACAAAGTGTGCACAAGCTGGGGGAGCAGCAGGCAGAGGGAGAGGGAAAAGCAGGCTCCCTGCTTAGCAGGGAGCCCGACACAGGGTTCGATACCAGGACTCTGGGATCATGACCTGAGCTGAAGGCAGACACTTAACCGACTGAGCCACCCAGGCGCCCCTATCAATAGAAATTCTATTAATATAACTTACCACATTAACAGATTAAACAAAGTCCGTATGATTGTTTTAATCAAGGAATAAAATTCAACATTCAATCATAATTAAAAACAAAAGAGGGGACATTATTACCAGTCTTATAGAGATTAAAAGGATTATAAAGGGATACAATGAACAACTTTATGACAACACATCAGACCATTCAGATAAATACCTGGACAGTCACAAATTACTTAAACCGATTCAAGAACAAATAGAAAATCTATAGACCCACAGACCTAAAGCAAGTAAAAAATCGAACTGGTAATTTAAAAATCTTTCCACAGTGAAAAGCCCAGTCCCAAAAGTCTTCACTGGTGAATTTTACCAAACATTTATAGAATAAATAATACCAATCTTTCAGTCTCTTCTAGAAAATAGAGGAGAACACTTCCAAACTCATTTTATGAGGCTGGTATTATTACTCTGATACAAACCAGACAAACATCATAAGAATAGAAAACTGCAGACCAATATTCCTCAAAAACAAAAAGAAGAAGAAAAATAGAACAAAATCCTCAACAAAATATTAGCAAATCAAACCTAGCATCATGTATAAAGGATTATATATCACAATAGTAGAATTTACCCCAGGAATAGAGGGTTGGTTTAATATCCAAAAATCAATTGATGTAATACATCATATTAATAAAGGTCAAAATCCATAAACAGGATCATCTCAAGAAAGGTAGAAAAGCAGTTGACAAAATCCAATACCCATTTGTAATAAAACTGGGAATAATAGGGAACTTTTATTCCCTAGACAGCTGATAAAGGACATCTGAGAAATTTATAGCTAAAATCATTTTTGTAAAGTTTTTTTTTTTTTTTTAGAGAGAGCACCCTAATAGGGGGGTGGGGTTAGGGGCAGAGGGAGAGGGACAGTTAGACTCCCCACTGAGCAGGGAGCCCGACGAGAGCCCGACGACATAGGGCTCGATCCCAGGACCCCGAGATCATGACCTGAGCTGAAGGTAGATGCTTAACCAACTCAGGCGCCCCTGGCTAAAATCATCTTAATGTTGAAAAGACTGAATACAAATTTATCCTAAGATTGGTAACAAGGCAAGGATGTCTGCTCCCACCACTTTTATTCAATATTGTATTGGAGGTACAGTTGAACTGGAAATGCAGTCAGGCAAGAAAAAGAAATACCAGGTATCCAGATTGGAAGGGAAGAAGCAATCTTCATATGTAGATATGATCTTATATATAGAAAATCTTAAGGATTCCACAAAAATACTAGAACTAATAAGTTCAGCAAGGTCACAAGATGTATGAGATTAATATACACAAATCAGTTGTATTTCTACTTATAAGCAATGAACAATCTAAAAATGAATGAAGAAGATTCCATTCATAATAGCATCTAAAGAAATAAGATACTTAGGAATGTATTTAACAAAAACAGTACAAGATTTTTACACTGAAAACTATAAAAACATTGCTGAAAGAAATGTAAGAAGATGTAAATGAATGGAGAGGCATTCCATCTTCATGGAAGACTCAGCATCATTAAGATGGTAATTTTGGGGGTGCCTAGCTGGCTCAGTCAGGACAGCATGTGACTCTTGATCTCAGGGCTATGAGTTCAAGCCCCACATGGGGTATAGAGCTTACTTAAAAAAATAATAAGATTACAGAGGACAAACAAAAAAATTTTTTAAAGATGGCAATTGTCAAAAAAATAAAAGATGGCAGTTGTTTCCAAGTTAATCTGTTGATTCAGTGTAATCCCTATCAAGATTCCAGCTGTCTTTTTTTGGACCAATTGTTAAGCTGATTCTAGAATTTACATGGAAATACAAATGACCCAGAATAGCCAAAACAATCTTGAAAAGAAGAACAAAGTTGAAAGACTCACACTCTCAATTTTAGAACTTACTACAAAGCCATAGGAATCAAAACAGTGTTTATTGCCATGGGATAGGCATATAAATCAAAGGAACAGAATTTTGAGAGTACAGAAATAAACCCTTGCATTTATGATTGGTTGATTTTCAATTCAACAAAGGTGCCAAGGTAATTCAGTGGTTCAAAAAAGGATAGTCTTTTCAATAAATGATACCTGAGCAACTGGATATTCACATGCAAAAAGATGAGTTTAGACCCTTATTTTACATCAAAACAAGAAACTCAAAATGGATTTAAACCTGAAGGTAAGAGATAAAATTACGTAATTCAAAGAAGAAAACATGGAAGTAAATCTTCATGCAAACCAAAGCACAAGTGATTAAAAAAAATTGACAAAATGAACTTCATTAAAATGAAAAACTTTTGTGTATCAGGTGATACCATTTAGAAAGTGAAAAGCAAAATTACATCTGATCAAGGATTTGTGTCCAGAATATATAAAGAACTCTTGCAACTCACTTTAAATATACACAAATAACCCAATTTTAAAATGGGCAAAATATCTGCATAGACATTTCACCAAGGAAGATAATACAAATGATTAATAGGCATGTGAAAAGATGATCAACATCATTAGTCATAAGGAAAATGTAAGTCAAAACCAAAATGAGAGACCATTTCATATCCACTAAGATGGCTTTAATTTAGAAAGACAATAATAAGTATTGTCAAGAATGTGGAGAAACTGGATCCTCATACATTGCTGGTAGGGATGTAAAATGGTACAGCCACTTGAGAAAAGTCTGGTAGTTTCTTAAAATGTTAAACAGATTTATCATCTGACCAGCCATTCCACTCCTAGGTATCTACCCAAGAGAAATGAACACCTATCACCACACAAAGATTTGTACATGAATGCTTATAACAGTATTACTCATAATATCCCCAAGAGGGAACCAGTACAAATATCTATCAATTGGCAAATTAATAAACAAAATGTGGTATATCTATATAATAGAATACTATTTGGTAATGAAAAGGAACAGAGTACTAATACGTGCTACAACATGGATGAACCTCAAAAAACAGTATGCTAAGTGAAAAAAGCCAAACCAAAAGACCACTTGTATAATTCTATTTATATTAAATGTCCACAATAAGCAGATCTATAGAGACTACTTAGTGGCTGCCTGTGACTGGGAATAGGAACAGGGAGAGACTACTAGTGGGCAGGAGGGATTTTTTAGGATGATGAGAATGTTCTAAAATTGGGTTGATGATTGCACAACTCCATAAATTTACTAAAAATCAATTGTTAAAATGAGTGAATTTTATGATATGTAAATTATATCTCAAAGCTATTAAACTTAATTAAAAATAGAAGGAAACTCATCAAAAGTGTACACTAAAACCTACAGGACATTTTTAAATGGTTTTCTCTATAGGGGTACCTGGCTGGCTCAGTCACTAGAGCATGTGATTCTTGATCTTAAGGTTGTGAGTTCAAGCCCCACATTGAGTATAGAGCTTACTTAAAAAAAAAATTTTTTTTCTCTATAAAATCAGGAAGGGAGAATATGGCTGCTATTACTACTACTGTATACCACTGTTTTGGGGTGGCAGAAGACAGGGTCCTAGTCGGTACAGGAAAATAAATATGTAAGGATTAGAAAGGAAAAAAAATGAAAAAAATAGCATTCACAGGTGATATGATTGAAGGGTTGGCAAATTTTCTGTAAAAGACTGTGTAATAAATATTTTAGGCTTTGTGTGCTGTATAGTCTCTGAGCAGCCGTCGACAATACATAATGGGTATTGCTGTGTTCCAGCCAACCTTCTGTATAAAAATAGGCAATAGTCCAGACTTAGCCCATAGACCAGTGTTCTGACTGGTCTATATAGTAAATCTTAGAAATTCTGCTGACAAATTATCAGAATTAGTAAGAGTTAACCAAGAGTGCTAGGCATAAGATCAAAATGTAAAAATCAGTACTGTTCCTATTTATCACAAGAAGCAATTAAAAAATTTAAAGCATAGTTTTTAGTAATTAAAAAAAATTTTTTTAAAAACCAGGATGGGTCAAGTAACAGATTAGACACAACTTTAAAAAATAGATTGGAAGCTAGATATTAAAAATTATCCAGAATGTAACAGAAGTGAAGAGATAGAATATAAGAAAGAGCAGCTATGAGGCGAGAATCAAATGTGAGTGTTTCAAACATCTATTTGGAGCTCCATAAGAATCGAGAAAATATGTGAGAGGCGATATTGGAATAATGATGGAGAATTTCCCAGAATATATGAATAATATGAATCTTAAGACTTAGAAAGTAAATGAATCCCAATAAATTAGAAAGAAATCCAAATTTAAACATATATCAGAGTGAAACTGCAGTACTCCAAAGACAAGAGAAGATCAAAGGATAAATTGTCCAAAGTAACAATTGCACTAATAGCAGACTTAAAAATAGCAACAATGGAAGCCAGAACTCAGTGGAGTATTATCCCCAATATTCAGAACAACATAAAGTGAGTTTACCTCAACAAAATCTTAAAAATGTGTATTTCAGAAAGAATAAAATGGGAAGTTGGAGATGAAAGAAGGAATGGTGTGCAGAAACAAAAAAAAAAATGTTTATCATGTATAAAAGGCTAAGCATACATTGACCGTAAATTCTAGTTTGAAGGTCAAAAATATGACTATTACCAAATCCTTATATTTATGATAATTCTAGGTTTTGATTTCTTCTGTAGGTGTACAGAAGATGGATGTCCACATAAGAAATTCTTTCACACACGTTTTCTCATGCGAATGAGATTAACACCAGATTGTTCCAAAATGTTGATCTCCACGTCCTCTGGATATCTTTTGATTTTGCATGATCTTGACTTAACCAAGTCTTTAGAAGTAGGCAGCTATCCCATTCTGAGAGCAAGAAGAACTACATCAAGTTCAGGTAAGCTTTTCTTTTTTGATTAAAAAAGTTTTCCGAAGAGTCTCACACAAAGGGAAATACTGTATATGTTCCCATTCTGAGAATGGTAGCAGGAAGAAGGGAAGGAGATTAGAAGACATTTTTGGAAAGCTCATTGAGAGCTTTTTTCCCAAGAAAGTATGACCTATATGAATCTCTGACATAGCATTAATTTGTGCTTCTGTATCACCAATGATCTAGGAAGAACTGCTAACTATAAAAATATTTTCTTTTAGCGCTTTCTGCTATCCAGAAAATCTTTTATCAGTATTTCTAAATCATCACTATCTCAAAAATTAGTGGTGGCCTAAGGTAGGTTCAATCTTCCAGCAGAGCTTTATTATTTTTATTTTATTTTATTTATTTATTTTTTATTTATTTTTATTTTTATTTTTTTTAAAGATTTTATTTATTTATTTGAGACAGAGAATGAGAGAGACAGAGAGCACATGAGAGGGGGGAGGGTTAGAGGGAGAAGCAGGCTCTTCGCCGAGCAGGGAGCCCGATGCAGGACTCGATCCCGGGACTCCAGGATCATGACCTGAGCCGAAGGCAGTCGCTTAACCAACTGAGCCACCCTGGCGCCCTATTTTTATTTTATTTTAATTTTTATTTCACAACCCTGAGATCAAGATCTGAGCTGAGATCAAGAGTCAGATGCTGAACTCACTGAGCCACCAAGGCACCCCACCTAGCAGAGCTTTTAAGATATATTCAATATAGGGCGCCTGGGTGGCTCAGTTCGTTAAGCGACTGCCTTCGGCTCAGGTCATGATCCTGGAGTCCCTGGATCGAGTCCCGCATCGGGCTCCCTGCTTGGCAGGGAGTCTGCTTCTCCCTCTCCCACTCCCTGTTTGTGTTCCCTCTCTCGCTGTGTCTTTCTCTGTCAAATAAATAAATAAAATCTTTAAAAAAAAAAAAAAGATATATTCAATATAGAGCTTTACTTTTAAGTCTGTATTACATCCTAGAATTCCAGATGTCTATATCCAGGTAGCAGGTGTCATCCTATTTCACAGCCTCTAAACATCCTCTTGCTAAAGCTGTATTCTTTTTTTAAAAAAAAGATTTATTTTAGAGGGAGAGAGAGCGGGGGAGGGGCAGAGGGAGAGAGAATCCTGAAGCAGACTCCCTGCTGAGCAGGGAACACAATTGTGGGGGCAGGGCTCAATCCCAGGTCTCTGAGATTATGACCCAAGTTGAAACCAAGAATCGGCCGCTTAACCGACTGAGCCACCTAGGTGCCCCTAAAGTTGTATTCTTTTTTCTGTTGCTGATTCCATTAGACTTCAGTGAAATTGGGGCTCAGAAAAACTTATGCACTATAATATATCTACATTATGTGATAGAGACTATATTTCATCACCTTTGAGAAAAAGAGGGCTGTTCCAGGAACATACCTATTTATAATTTTGCATTTATGAACAAGAACCCAGAAAAAAAGACTTAAGCATTTGGAATACAATGTTTATAAATTGCTATTTAAAATCAGCTTCAGATGGTTGGACTCTTTCTCCTGTATGCACAGGGCCATAGGGCCACATCTGAAGACTTCTTTGGGAAAGTGCAGGCCCTGTTGTAATTGCATTTGCCCAATTTCACTGCTAAAAGTAGAAATTTAAGTTTTACCAGCTTATTTGCAAAGCAAGGGATTTCATAAATATGTGAGTATAATCCTTTTACATTCAGAAATTTATTTTTAGGTTAAACATTAATAGTCAACTTTAGCTTAGGAACAGGTAGTGAGTTAGAAAGTCTGGTTGGTATTTTTTTTATTCAAAAGCCAAGAACAGGGGCGCCTGGGTGGCTCAGTCAGTTAAGCATCTGCCTTTGGCTTGGTTCATGATCCCAGGGTCCTGGGATCGAGTCCCACATTGGGCTCCCTGCTCAGCGGGGAGTCTGCTTCTCCCTCTCCCTCTGCCTGTCGCTCCCCCCGCTTGTGCTCTCTCTCGCTCTGTCTCAAAGAAATAAATAAAATTAAAAAACAAAAACAAAACCCCACCAAGAACATTTTCTGTCTTCTAAGGGTAATTCTGATAATAACATCAAAGGGAATTAGATGAAGAAATTCTCATAAAAGTGTGGGGCCACTAGAAGAGTGAGATGTAATAGAGATTGCTTTTTGGAGTAATATATCAAACCCAACTATCTAATACTCAATTTTTTTCTTCAGATTTCAGTATAAAGTTTGTATTGCATTTCCAAGATAGTATTCACATAACTTCATGAATGATAACAGAATTGTTTGGCATGCTTAAGAAGGCTCATTTAATGTTCTCAGTAACGAACCTGGTATTTGGACCCTATTCTAACATTAAACAGGCTGATGAACAGCTCAGTTTTCATGTTTACTCAATTTTCTTGTTTTGTTTTACTACAGAAGTGATGGGGAACCCAAAGATGCTCCTATGTTTATTTGGTTTGTCATTTTTATTTCACTTAAGCAAGTCTTTGTTAGAAGAGATTTTAGAGAGGGCCCAGGCCTTAGATAGAACACTTCAAAGAGCTGTCCTACCTACCTCGGTCGCAGTTATAGGCCAGCTTTAAGTGAGCATGTACTTGCCATGTTTCAGATGGATTTTAACAGTATGCTTCAACTAGCTGATTAAAAAGTTAAGAGACACTACTAGAATTTTGCTAAGTTTATTGTCAGAACTTTTTGTATTTTCAAGATCTGACTACTTCAAGTTCATCTGGTCCTCGAGTTTCTGGTTCACCTTGTCATCATAGTGATTCTAACTCATCTTCTGAGAAACACATGTCACGAGCATCACAAAGAGAAGGTAGGTTGAAAGTGGTATTTTATAATCTTGCAACAACAGATTCTACCAAATAGCTTTCTTTGGTTTAGTTTAAAGCTATACAAATAAAAGCCAATAAAGAAGAGGCTATTCTTTGACCCTCAGTTATTTTCAAAAGCTAACCAGTCTCTAGGGTTGGATATCTCGGGCTTACATCTTTGTTGGAATTTGAGCTTTGGCTTTATTTACTGAACTTATAGTCTGGTCTAGATTGAAGAAAAAGTGGTTTGGACATGTAAATTCCAATCAAGGTTGTTATGGATTAAATGAGATATGCATGTGATGGTGCTGTATAAAGTGATGGGTTTGTCAGGTGCTTGTGAAAGTCACCTGGTTCCAGCCCAGTAGGCATTTTGCTCTGCCATTTCTTTATCTGAGCAATGCCTGACAGCCTTAGAGGGGTTGTGGGATAAAGTGGGCTACATTCTGGCCCTACTCTGCTTTTGCCCGTTTCCCCCCACCGCTCTGGCAGAAGTAGCTGTTTAGCCCATTCTTTCCACCCCCTAAATGAGATGCTTTTTACCTATGCAAACTTCATCTACTTCTCCATACCAGTTCACATCTAAGCACTTTTTGTCCTCATCTTTGTGGACTGATGGCCAGATGTGGGTCTTTTTGTAATTTTGGGTCACCTTTTGGAGATGAGCATAGCTCCTACCTGGGTCTTTAGGGGAGGGGCTATCCATTATACTTCTAATTTGTGTTTTTCCTGGGTGGCCTCACCTGGTAAGTGCTTGATAATTGCATACTTGATTATTTTGCATGACTACTTGATGTTTGTAGAGTGGTTTGAGAGCTCTTCCTAAACCTACAGCCTATCTGCTTTCCTCTGGATATTCAAGACTATGACATTTAAGGTTAAAAATTCCTATTAGAGATTTATGCCCAGATGTGTAACATTTTTCCTTTGATTTGTAGCAGAAACTTCTTTTATAGATTCTACCTGTTCTTCTACTTTGGCTTCTAAGACAAGGCTCTTAATAATCATTGAGAAAAATCTTTATTGAACTAAACCATCCATGAGGGGAAAAAAAAAACAAATAAGAGTAGTTAACTGCTTGTTGCAGTGGTAAACCCCAAAACCAAACTACACAGCAGTTTCATGATACAGAGATTGGGAATGGGAGAAGAGACGATGTATGGAGAGCCTAGGCAGAGTATAGAGAAGAAGGTGGGGCTCATACATAAGGTCGTTCTGAATGTTGGCAATCCTGGGTCTTCAGGGTGTCAGAACGTTAGCACCATACTTTGACAGATACAGTAGCTGTATAGAGCTGAGGCTATTAAACTCATTTCAGGTTAGACCTTTTTTTTTTTTTAGATTTTATTTATTTGTGAGAGAGAGAATGAGAGACAGAGAGCATGAGAGGGAGGAGGGTCAGAGGGAGAAGCAGACTCCCTGCTGAGCAGGGAGCCCGACGTGGGACTCGATCCCGGGACTCCGGGATCATGACCTGAGCCGAAGGCAGTCGCTTAACCAACTGAGCCACCCAGGCGCCCCTAGACCTTTTTTTTTTTAAGTGATCTCTACACCCAATATGGGGGCTCAAACTCCAGACCCTGAGATCAAGAGTCAGGTGCTCTATCGGCTGAGCCAGCCAGGTACCCCGTGAACTCCCTTTAGGACATGAAATCTGCTGTGGATTGTAGCACAGATAAAGTGCAAAAACTCTGGCTCAAGTGAAATTAGGGAGTTCCTTGACCAGTCTTCCCTTCCCATCCCCATGTGGTTCCCTCCTTTTGCCAGCTCTGGAGGAACCTCCAAGGAGCACAGCTCAAAAACCACTACTTACTTATTTAGGTGGGTTTCTTTTTTGCTTTTGTTCAATTTTCAGAATTCTTGATATAGCTGTTTGTTTTTCTCTAAAATTGTTATTAAAGTTCAGTCACATGTGAAATCATTATTTAGGTATAGTTTGGTTGTAACAATGTAATTTAGAGCTTCACAGGTTTCCATCAATGCTGTAGTAGTCTAAAGGGACTCTTTTAAAGAAGATAACACATCTATTTGAGGAACAATTCACAAAGGGTCTGACAGAGGGAGCTCATAATCTTCAAAGCCACTCCTTCCGCAGGTAGAGAAGTGTTGAAATATTTCTCGATATTAAATTTCTAAATTGCTTCTTTATAATGTCTGTGAAAGTGGTTCTCCACACACCTGAGGGATAGGATGTAACTCCCAGTAGTAATGGCTTGCTGTAGCAGTCACTTTCATGGGGGGCTAGGAAAGAGGACGGGATGGGCCCTAACAGAGTACCAGGCATATGTATGATTGGCAATGTCTCCCAACCCCTCGTTTTGACATACTGGTATGTGAAATATCTTCCCTTGCCTCCAAAATTATAGCTCTGTTTTTTATAGTACTGTTCTTGGGGGCCCTAAGTCCTGCTCCTTGCACACATAATAGCCTTTTATTGATAAGAAAGGCAATCTGCATGGCTTCCAAGTATTTCCTTCTCTGGACTAGAGAGCACCAGGTCCTCTGAGATGAGAATTATCTTTTACTTTTCCAGATTCCTTTCATGTCATATAACTTTATCTTAGTTTTCTGAGATGTAAATCCTAATCAAAAGGCTCCCTAGTCTTAGGTTACTGGGATTCCCGCTGCAGGAACTTGGATTCTTTAGTTCTGGTCATAATCCTCCCCCATACCCCCACCCCAAAGACATGCACACCATGCATCAAGGGGCACCACCATAGGTTTTTTTTGTGTATGTGTATTTTTTTTTTAAGATTTATTTATTTTAGGGCGCCTGGGTGGCTCAGTTGGTTAAGCGACTGCCTTCGGCTCAGGTCATGATCCTGGAGTCCCGGGATCGAGTCCCGCATCGGGCTCCCTGCTCGGCAGGGAGTCTGCTTCTCCCTCTGACCCTCCTCCCTCTCATGCTCTCTGTCTCTCATTCTCTCTGTCTCAAATAAATAAATAAAATCTTTAAAAAAAAAAAACAAAAAAAAACCCAAGAGTTGGCTGCTTAACTGATGGTGCCCCCCTCCGCCCCCAGGCATGCCCAGTTTTTCTTTTTACATGTGGTAGCACAAGGGGCAGATGAAGGAATGAAGGCTGGGGGTGGGGGTGACTGCCAGAAATCAAAGCTTTGATGAGCTGCCTTAGTTCTCTGATAATACACATTTCCCATCCTAATTTTCTTATCAGGAGTTTCACCACGAAATAGTCTTGAAGTCTTAACTCCTGAAGTTCCTGGTGAGAGAGACCGTGGAAACTGCATCACGTCCTTACAGCTGCACCCAAAAGGCTGGGCCGCTCTCCTTAGGTGCTCAAGCAACACCGATGATCAGGAGGTAGGGGCGGCGGCACTCCACCTTCAACGGGGCTGACTGAACAAATAGCCGTTGCCGTGTACGCTCATGGTATCTTTATCCCTTGAACCACTCCTTCCTCTCCCGCCTCCTCTCCAGTGTGGCAGACTGGAAATACCTTAAACCCGTATCAACTCAGATTGTGGCCAACTTCTTAATTCTTGCCCTCTTTATCTTGCCACATGCCCTTTATATAGTAAACTTTAGATGGAGATGCTTCAGCCAAGCTGGCTAAATGTAAGGTTTTGCTAAGCCAATTGAGTATTAGAATTTGCTCTTTTTAAAAACAAGGGGAGGGGCGCCTGGATGGCTCAGTCGGTTAAGCGTCTGCCTTCAGCTCAGATCATGATCCCAGGGTCTGGGGATCGAATCCCAAGTTGGGCTCCCTGCTCAGTGGGAAGCCTGCTTCTCCCTCTGCCTGCCGCTCCCCCTGCTTGTCCTTGCTCTCAAATCATACATATGTAGGTACGTACGTACATACATACATACCAGGGGAAACCAGGGAGAGACTAAACTGATGACTAGGGGAAAAGAGAGAAGAGCCTTTGAAGTATGTAGGAGGAGAGGTATTTTAAGGCTTAGATGTCTAAACTTTAGAATATTTTAAGTATCAACATTGTTGTTACTTTCACAAAGGGGAATTATTACCACAGAAGTCACAGCAGCCTGAGGGAATAAAAGGCTTTAGTCATAGTACATCACAGTACACAGAATAACCTTGGCTTATGAAGATAAGGTATGGGGCCTGCACATTTTAGTAGATGGGAGAGGGGTAGCAGTTATCTGATTGAGTTCTTGCAACAATTCTGTGGCTTTGGCAGCCTGTTGAGCTTTTTAGAAAAAGAACTATCTAGCGTTATTTGGGGCTCTGTAACTTTGGTTTATCTCTCTTCTCTCCCCTTAGTGGACTTGTGTCTATGAATTCCAAGAAGGAGCTCCTGTGCGACCTGTCTCACCTCGCTGTTCTCTACGACTGACTCATTACATTGAAGAAGCCAATGTAGGCAGGGGTTATATCAAAGAACTTTGCTTCAGCCCTGATGGGCGAATGATCTCTTCCCCACATGGCTACGGGATTCGCTTGTTGGGATTTGACAAACAGTGCAGTGAACTTATAGACTGTTTGCCCAAAGAAGCCAGTCCTCTGCGGGTGATCCGTTCTCTGTACTCTCATAATGATGTGGTACTGACGACAAAGTTCTCTCCAACACATTGTCAGATTGCCTCAGGGTGCCTTAGTGGACGGGTTTCTTTGTATCAGCCAAAGTTTTAGGCACAACTTAACATCAAATAAGGAATTCTTCTGGTGTTTGACTTATAAATTACTTCAATTTAGGTGAAGTATTTCCTTTTTAGACGATCTTAAAAGTTTGGGTCAAGATCCCAGTTCTTACGCGTCCATGGACACACCTGTGACCTGAGGACTTGGCCGTCCGGCATCGTAGGGGCCTCACCAAGTTAGACTCGACGCAGCAGCAGCTTTTCCGCATTCCTCTGCTCCTGCTCATCTGTGCCGCTGGGACTTCAGTTCTTCTGGTTATTTTGCATGGTAGCTCTCGTCAAGTTTCTTTACTTCTTGTTTTTTGATTTCAGTGTGAATTTTGTGGACGTCTGGCAGGAGTTTTGGCTGGGTTAGGAGAAACCCATGACACTGGTATTGAATAAAACCCAGAAGTTCGATGTCAGCATACTGGTCATTGAAAAAGAAATTTCATCTTCACTTATCAGTATACCTGGCCTTTTAAAGTTGCTGTTACGTTTCTCTATAATGAGCACAGTTAATGGCATTATTCTCACAATGTTAGTCTTACAACAAAAATGTCTTTTAAGTTTCCTGTTAAAATTATACATATTTTTTCACCGTGAGGGGAATTTTGTTGTAAAACTCTAGAAAAAATAATTACCACCTCTCTTTGTAATTTACTTGTATGAATTTAAAAATCTCTAGCATGTGTCCTTATTTGGTATTTTGTTCCTGTCAACAGCATTTAGAAAGGAAAAGAGGAGAAGGAATGGGCTTTGATCATTTCTATTATATAGAAGAGGATTCATTAAGTTAGTACACTGTCTAGTCAGAGTGATGAGAACAATGTGGCTTAGTGTCTGTTTTCTCTACCAGACTCTTTGACTCACACAGGGTGACATGTTATGTTATTAGGGTGGAGGGGGGGATTGAGAGTAAAGAGGTTGTGTTTTCCTCATATTTACTCCTTGAGCCAGGTGGCACAAACTCGACCCTTAGCATTAGGGAGGGCAGAACTGCAGTCCTGTTCAAGGCGTGACCTAACTACAGTAGTCAGCGACTTGGATGTCAAGACAAAGAGCTGACGTGAAGGCCTCTTGTATTTTGTTACAGAACACAGCAAGTAAAAAACATCAAGCAGGGGTCTCACCGGGCTGACTGGCCTGCTGAAGTAGAGCAGCTTTCTTCTAGTCTCCACTTGGAATGGTATTATATTTAATAAGGGATCCACCAGAGCTGCAGTAATTTAAGCCACACGCTAGCTTGTTCCCTCTCAGATCACATTCTCTTAGGCCAATGGTTCTCAAATAGTAGGGTGCATTACAATCATTGAGGAGCTTGTGGAAAACACAGAAACCTGGCCCTCACCTTAGGAGGTTCTGATTCAGCCAGGGAGAGGACAGGAATCTATTTTTAATAGGAACCTCAAGTGATCTTTACTCAGGTGGTCCCTGGATCAGAATTTGAAAAACACTACCTTAAACATCAGTAAATACTTCTGTACCTATTAGGTGCTTAACTCCCAGAAGGTGTTTTAATTATTAAAAAAAAATCATAAGTAAATGAAATCCATTTTAGAGGTAGAAAATGTAATCAATCTCATTATCTGATGAATGAGAGAAGTTAAGTGACTTGCCTAAAGTCATCTTACAAAATTAGCGGCAGAGCCAGAACTTGAATTCAAGTCTCCTGATTCCTTGCTCAGGGCAATTTCTAATGCATTATGCTGGCTGTTAAAACAATGATTTATTTATGAACACTTTATCTTGTCTTTAAGTTGTATTATTGTGACTACCCTTAAACTGGCCGATAGATTGAAAAAGGCATGGGAATAGATGCTGAGAATTCCAGCCCTAAGAAGAAGAGGATCTTAAATCTTATAGAAATGTTTAAGCAACCCAAACACATGAATAAAAATGACATTTCTTTGTAGAACCTACCAGCCATTCACACACATGTGCAGAGGTTACATCTCACTTGGAACAATCTTGGCTCTAGGACAAATTTTAAAAATTAGATCATTTTACCACGGATGTTAAAAAGAATTGGAATTTTTTTTTTTTAAGATTTTATTTGACAGAGAGAGACACAGCGAGAGAGGGAACACAAGCAGGGGGAGTGGGAGAGGGAGAAGCAGGCTTCCCGCTGAGCAGGGAGCCCGATGCGGGGCTCGACCCCAGGACCCTGGGATCATGACCTGAGCCGAAGGCAGACGCTTAACGACTGAGCGACCCAGGCGCCCCAAGAATTGGAAATTTTTTAGCTATCAAGAAAACTACCACAAAATATAATGAAAACACAGGTTTGCCATAAATTTTTTTTTAAAAACCCACATATTTAAAGGAAAATAAACTTTTGGAGGCAAAAGCACCCAATCTTAACATTCAAAATAAGCTACTAAGTACAATAATTATATTGATTTTAAAAAAGGTTCCATATATTGCATCCCCTTTGGAGAGCTGCATGTCAGATGCTGGGCCCACGTGTCACCCAACTCTGAATTTCAGTCCATGATTCTTCACCCATTAGAGAGTTTCTGTGGTGTCAAATAATCTACACACTTTACTACTAACTCGCACTCACAAAATACCTTGCAAGGTAGGTGACATGAGTGCCAGTTTACTTTGGAGGAAATGGAGGGTCTGAGAGGTTAAGTGATTTGCCGTAAGTCACAGAGCTGGCACCGGGGAGAGGGCAACACTGGGATTCAAACCTAGCTGTTTTAGTCCAAAGCCTGTGTGCTTACTACTCTACCACTTTGCCCTTTTGTTTATAAAGGATGGGAAAATGGCCTGTTAATTTGTTTAGCATCCTCTGTAAATTCTTTATTACAGAGCTGGCTTACTTTCTGCACCATGCAAGAGAACATTTATAAGACTGAAAATTTCCATTAGAATTAGTACCATAAACTGCAAGGCATACATACAGTCCATTCCTAACTGAAAGACTTCGAGCAGGATAAGTAGCTGTAAAGTAAAGAAAAATGTGGGATAAATAGCTTTGTATAAAAATAGAGCCACACAGATGAGAATTAAAAATTAGCAAACTCAACAAAACCACCTTTGTCCTCTTTTTGAGGTACGGCTGTGACCAAAACATCATGAGGGGGGATATTAATCCAGGAATTACAGGGCATCAGGAATGTTAGACTCTTGGAGGAAACTGCATCTTACAATTTCAAGGTCTCATTTCACTTAAGAGTGTAAAATCTAATCTGGTGTTTTTTTACTCTAAATTTTATTTAGTCATTTTTATTCATGATAATTGGTGAATGTACTATAAGTGGTAATGTGGTATAGTTGGTAAATGTCGTATAAATTATACTTGTTTTAAAAAGCTTTCTACAGGGGCGCCTAGCTGGTTCAGTCAGTAGAGCATGCAACTCTTGATCTTGAGGTCATGAGTTTGAGCCCCACCTTGAGGGGTAGATTGTACTTAAAAGAAACCTTGAAAAAGCTTTCTACAGAAATGCTATGTTAAATAAGTTTAGGAACATCAAATATTTAGTAGTTCCTTATCTTTAATTGTAAAAATGAAGTGGCTAAAGCAGACAAGACCTCTCAATCTTTTGAAAATGTATGTGATCTTTGTTCTCAGAAGCCCAAAGAACATGTATAGTTTGTTATTTCTCCTTGTTACATCCAAGATGAGGCTATACCAAAAATTTTAGGAAAACAAGCAAGGATAAGGTTCCCAACTCCTGTCTAGAACCACGATCACATTATATTGTGGTTAAAGTTTAGTTTTCTAGAAAGTGCAATATAGGAAAAACACTCTGAGAATCTTTTAGAAGCCTAGTGTTTCCCATTATTAGTCAGAATATATGGTACTGGCATCCGTAAGTATCTGTTAAAGCTTGTGTTTAGCAGGAGAAATAGTCTGATAACACTGATGACAATCAACCAACCCTATTTAAAATGACCAGCAGCCACGGAGAGCTATGAAAATTCACTAATAGCCAGTGTTGGTCATGAAAGAAAGCATATATATAAATTTTTGGATAACTTAAGTGCCAAAATTTAAAGCTTGTAAATTATTTTTGATGCAAGTCTTTCAGATATGTTAGTATACCTCCCTCCCTGCCTTCTTAAACAGCATGCTCGGTATAATACACTTTTTCGTGATGAAAAGTAAAAGTTATATTCATGTGTTATTACAAATACCCAATGAGCTCTGATGTATGTAAAATACTTCATAAACTGTAAAGGGCTATAACAAATATGAGTTAATATCAATTATTATAAAGTGATGCCCTCAGCCCTGAGGTATATATAATCATTTGTCTCAGGTTGCTCGGATTTGGGGATTTTTTTATTTAAAAATTTTTCTATCTGCTAAGTAGTCTGTGCTGTCTCCTACCACAGTATCCACACGCCTGCCTCTAACAGGCTCTCTATCATACGTTCTGTGTTCATCTGTTATGAGCTGGGACATGAGATAGCCAAGCCTGCTTAGTGTCTAAAGAGCTGCACAAGCCCTGTGTGCACAGTCTCTGAGACCACTAGCTTTCTGACAGGTTCACAGTAACCATCTGGATAATAGAAGTACCCAGGTAAAGCCTAGGCTAGTGATTTTTTTCAGTTGCCGCTAAGTAAAATACTATAGACGAAGGATGCTGCTAGATTAAGGAATAAACAGCAATGTACCAAAGTACAGCCAAGTAACAACAAAGGCTCTATATTAGCACAGGGATCCTTCATGCTTTAAAAAAAAAAAAAAAAAAAAAGAATCCAGGGGGGGAAAACAATGAAAATAAAATCCAGATAGACTTGAGTATTTTTGATGCCATTAAACTTGGTTAATAGCCATTAAGATACATGTTTAAATTATCACACATTGTGACAAAGACAGTTTTAGTCTCACTGCAGAAGATCATACCGAAATTTATACCCCAAGAATTTCTCCCGTTCAAATGATAACAGAAATTATCAAAAGGAAAGTCTCAAATTTACCTGTATGCTGCTTTAGTTGTAAATGAATAAATAATGGAAATATGAGATTTATCAAAACCTCCAAGGAACACATCTCACATATGCACACCTCGTCTATGTATGTGTATAAAATGAAATGTCATCCAGAGACAATAAAATAACTTTAAAATTTAAGTCTTGTTCATAGTATTTAAAATAGAATTTTTTTCAGCTTTCCTATGCTTCTTCCTTATTTCAATTTCATGTTTTCTACATTAAAGTTTGGATATTTGATTTTAAATTTCACTGCATCTTCCATTTCTAAAATGTGCTTTTCTGGTAAATTTTAGAATCATATTTTTAGGAAAGTTGGGAATGTTCCAGATAATATCCTAGACACCAGAAATTTTTTTCACTAAGTTCTGAGGTACTATTAATTTCTCATGCTAGACTGTAAGCTCCTTGTGGGCAGGAACTGTCTTACTTTTCTTGTATCCCCAGTGCCCAGTACAGGACCTGACAGAGTAGTTGCTCAATAAATTATTTGTTGTAGGACTCAAATGAACCTTAACCATATGTGGCCTCGAATTTCCGTGAAGCCAGAACGTGATGTGCAAATAGAGAAATCTTTATCAGAGTAAGATTCAGAAAAACTAAGCATTTCTCATTGATTTGGAAAACAGCAAAACTCAATTTTTCATTCACCAAACACTGAATCCCTACTATATGCCTTGTCCAGTACTAGGGACTCAAGGGACAAAGATAACTAAGGTTGTAGCACTGGCTTCATGAACGTGTGACCAGTGCAGTTCTATAAGGCCCTGCAGTGAGAAAAGCCCCATGCTTGGTGTAAGGTTCTGCTGAAGCCATCTTAAAATTCTTAATTTTTTGAACAAGGAGCCCATATTTCTATTTTGCACTGGGCTTCCAAATTATATAGCTGGTCCTGCTTCAATATTATCATGTTGACATGGAACAGTAAGAATTATAGTATCTTCTATCTACTGTCCAGTAAAGATATTCACATTCATTGAAAACTAGCCATTAAGTGAATGATTTAGTAAAAGAACTTCTAAAATCTAAAAATAAAACTCCCTCCCTCGCACAAATTTTTTCACAGATCATTACAGAATTAGGAAAGCTCTCTAAAACCGTAATTGGCTCTTACTGTTTCATTTGAATTCTCTTGAGGATTTCATATGGATGAATGTAGAGTTGTAGGTGATTTTATCTACATACATACATACCTACATGCAATTTTAAGGTTTCAGTAAAACTTTTATTAATATATGCACTGAATGTCTCGGTGTAAGTCTACCTCATAATGTGCTTTTAAAAAAATAAATGCTACTTTGAAACATCTGACACACTTTTTCTGTGCTTAGCCTGTTTGAAAGGTTGATGGCAAGCTTACATTAAGCAGTAGTTTGAAATTTTTATTTAAATTGCTTAGGTGTTTATTTTTAGACCAGAATCAAGCATAATGCTGTGACAGGGGCAGTGCTTGGTGATTCTTGTAGAGGTATTCTGGACTTTTAAATCCTATGACCCCTATCCAAAAAAATTAGAGCACATGCTCCAAATTGATGTTGTGTGTGTGTATATATATATACACACATATATATACACACACATACATATATATAAAATATCGTACTGCTCTACTATGTAAATTATAAAAGATGTACAGAGAGAAAGGAAATTTTAAAAGGATAGAAGTTTTAAAAATCAAAGTTCTACATTACCTCCTGCACTTCCAGGGATCACCTTATGCTCCCACAGGTATATGCACATTTCATTTTGTGAAGGCCACCATTCTAAAACATAGAATTGGCATTTTTATACTGAAAACACATTTACTAAGATCTGGTTCGTTCACATCTGTTCACTAATGTTCTGGACATTTACAAGTTTATTCAATATGAATCATGTTTTATAGAGTTTTAAGTAAAAAGTATATTCATATCAATAAGAAGCATAGTGGATAAATTTTTGTCAAGCTGCACACGGATTTGTTTTCATATAGGTACACTTAGAACATGCTATTTTTCAGTGTTCCCTTGGATGAATTGTTATATTAATAATTTAATAGGGTGATGGTTCACTTTATGATACTGTTTTAATTCACTAGAAAAAGGACAATCATATTTGGGATACTCATTTTTTATTTTATTTTTATTTTTTTTAAGATTTTATTTATTTGACACAGAGAGACAGTGAGAGAGGGAACACAAGCAGGGGGAGTGGGAGAGGGAGAAGCAGGCTTCCCGCCAAGTAGGGAGCCCAACACAGGACCCGATCCCAGGACCCCGGGATCATGACCCGAGCCGAAGGCAGACGCTTAACGACTGAGCCACCCAGGCGCCCCTGGGATACTCATTTTTTAAAATAAGTCACTGAAGAGAAAAAGTGAATCCCTTTCAATTCAGATTATTTTGTGAAATTATTTCGATAAACTGATTTAGCTAACCATAGCATTAATCACCACTATTTCAGTTATTCCTCTGACAGACTTGTTTTGGACTATTTAAAAAAAAAATTTTTTTTTAAGGAAACAATTATTTGGCGTTGCTTTAATGCTAATAAATTAATGATTTAGTTTCCTATTACTGATGTAACAAATTACCTACCACAAATTTAGTGGTTAAAACAACACAAATTTGGGGCGCCTGGGTGGTTCCGTCAGTTAAGCGTCTGCCTTGGGCTCAGGTCATGATCCCAGGGTCCTGGGATCGAGCCCCACATCGGGAGCCCGCTTCTCCCTCTGCCTGCCGCTCTGACAAATAAAGAAATAAAATCTTAAAAAAAAAAAACCACCCACAAATTTAAAACAAAACAACACAAATTTGGGGTACCTATCTGGCTCAGTTCGTTCAGCATGCAACTCTTGATCTCTAGGTCATGAGTTTCAAGCCCCATGTTGGGCAGAGAGCTTACTTATAAAATAAAACACAAATTCGTGTCCACTGAGTTTCCCTCCAGGCCCTTCCCTTCTAGCACAGTATATGAAAAGTGGTGCTCTAAGTCCAGCATGCACTGGAATCACCTGGAGGACTTGTTAACACACAGACTGCTGGTTTGATACCCAGAGTTTCTGATTTCAAAGGTCTGGGGTGGGAGCCCCCATTTTGCACTTCTAACCAGTTCCTAGTTGAAGCTGTATGTGTGGACACCATGATTTGAGACCTATGAGTATAGAAAATGCAGTTAGCGGGTGCCTGGGTGGTTCAGTCGGTTGAACGGCCGACTCCTGGCTTCGGCTCAGGTCACCATCTTGCGGTGGTGGGATCGAACCTTGGGCTCCCGCACTGAACGTGGAGCCTGCTTGGGATTCTCTCTCTCCCTCTGCCACTTCCCTGCCCCCATGCATGTGTGCACACACATTAAAAAAAAAAAAGAAAATGTAGTTAGGGTCTAATTTTTCATGGATGACAGATCCTAGGAATCTCTATGTAGATAAAGGAAGCCAATTTAGAGAACATTTTTTTTAAGAGAACATCGTAACTTTGGAGGTTATTACAGATGGACAACGGTTTGTCCGTCAGCACGCCATTCTCAGTACACTGTCAGGGGGCCCTCCAGTGAGAGCTGAGACGCCCCCAATTTAACACGATATGTAAGTTAGTGGGCAGTAAGTAAGACCATCTTACCTTCTGAGGCACAGACTTGGTGCTGTGTGGTTTCTCTTCTAGCCCAGAGGAACCCTCTCTGGGGTGAGCTGTAGACAGCTGCAGCCGTTGCTCACAACCAATCCACAAAAGGAACATCCGAAACTTTTACCAGGGCATACACAACTCAAAACATTCTTTTTTTTTTTTTAAGAGAGAATTTTTTTTTTTTAAAGATTTATTTATTTATTTGAGAGAGCGAGAATGAGAGAGAGAGAAAGTACATGAGAGTAGGGAGGGCCAGAGGGAGAAGCAGGCTCCTTGCTGAGCAGGGAGCCCGATGCGGGACTCGATCCCGGGACTCCAGGATCATGACCTGAGCCAAAGGCAGTCGCTTAACCAACTGAGCCACCCAGGCGCCCTCAAAACATTTTCTAAAACCTTTTCTGGGGACACAGTGGTCTCCACTGAAAGCCATCTAAATTACGGGTGCGCTGGGCTGCTGCACTGACAGTAATTCACAAAAGTCCTTCACTATTATAAAAGATTAGTTTTCAGGTAAAATGAAGGATCCAACTTTCACTGTGAAAGGATCTTTTTTTGTTTTTAAAGATTTATTTGACAGAGAGAAACAGTGAGAGAGGGAACACAAGCAGGGGGAGTGGGAGAGGGAGAAGCAGGCTTCCTGCCGAGCAGGGAGCCCGACGTGGGGCTTGATCCCAGGACCCTGGGACAATGACCTGAACCAAAGGCAGACGCTTAATGACTGAGCCACCAAGGTGCCCCAAAGGATTACTTTTTAAAAGTGAAATACAAAGTATCGGATCTGTTCTGGAAACGCCGTATTTATTCTGAAGCAGTTATTACCCAGTCTTTTGTGTGCGCGCACATGCGTGTAAGCACTTAATGAATGTCTGTAATTAAAAGAAGGATTTCCTGCCATTTATTGAATTTTGCAGTTCACTGGCAGGAAAATCATGATCCCTCCCCTTGTCCCTTCAAGGGGCAGGTAGACAGAGCCCTTGCCTCTGGGGCAGTCTTAGGAGGTAAGGTGATTAGCCCTGTCACCATCTGTGGGTGGTGAGGGTGGCGGCTGCCATTCCCTTCCAGCAAGGATTTCTCTAGCATCCCGTGACTTCATTTAGTCTAAGAACTCACACACTAAAAGAATTAAACTGGGGGCACCTGGGTGGCTCAGTCCGTTAAGCGCCTGCTTTTGGTTTAGGTCATGATCCCTGCATGGGGCTCCCTGCTCAGGGGGGAGCCTGCTTCTCCCTCTGCCTCTGCTGCTCCCCTTGCTTGTGCTCCCTGTCAAATAAATAAAATCTTTAAAAAATAAATAAAAAGTAAAAGAATTAAACTGAGTCAATACAACGCGGACAGCAGATCCTGTGATAAACTCCCTGATGATTTCTCTCAGCATTTTACTATGAAAATGTTCAACACAGAGCAAAGTTGAATTTTACAGTGAACATCTGTTGACCACGATTCTACCATTATCGTCTTCCTGTTTTATCACGTATCTAATACTCTATCCATCTATCAATCCATCTTAATCTTTGATATATTTTGAATAAATTGCAGATG